TGGAGTTATACATTTTGTATGGCTCAAATCACACCGAACCCACACCAAAAAAGGTGCAGGACCCTTTTTTGGGTCTGCACTAGAATCGGATTGCATGGGTATTCACACCTATGCGATCCGATTCCGATTTCGGGTGTTAACTTACAAACCCACATCGGTTTACATGAATGGGGTGCGATTCTGAAAACACTGCGAATTCTGCACCACATCAGTGTGAACCCAGCCTTAATCATGATCAGAATTGGGCTCCTCTAAGGTGACATGGCCATGTTCTGTCACCAAAGCTGCAGGGCAAAGATCCCCACAGGAAAATGTTCTACATATTCATATCAGGGAAACTAGCAGAAAATGTTCCATTACAACCAGGTTAACCTAGGTTTAATAAGGATCTTTTTTCCTTGTGTTCACAACACACTCCACCAGTTTGTAGCATGTAACATCTCAGTATACATGGACAGCCTCCATTTTATAGGAACCACACACACCAATGTTTACATCCAGGACAGCTTTTCCACCCCATATCAAATACTTCCTCCACCCCACCCCACCCCAAACCCTCATTTAAAAGAAATGATTTGACAAACTAGCAACTCATCCCTTTTGGCTTTGTGCTAAAGCTCAAAATTTTACAGCAGAGCTCCACCCAAACGGGAAAGCTCTGCTTGTCTGCCTCCTCCTTCCCTCCACTGTCACATTTGGCACGTTTTGGGGGGGGAGGGAAAGCGGGTATCTGCTTTTGATAGTTGCCCGCTCCCACTTCTGGCTCAGTTCACTGTGGCAAACTGAAATGGAAGTTTGGGCCCCCTCCATAGTCTTCTGGGACACTTCACAGATCCCAGAAGACAGAGGGATCAATCTCAAGATGCAGTGCGACTCATGCATGCTCAGTAGGAAAAACTGGCTGTGAAGGTTTTCCTCACTTGCAATGCCGGCACCGGGAACCCAGAGGCGAATGAAAAACTAGCCCAGGTTACAACCACACTGGACCCCTGGATAGGCAAGTGTCCTTATATTGAAAGTCAGTAGCTACAGTATTTGTAGCTGCCAACGTTTTTTTTTGGAGGGGGGCCTGGACCTCCTCTTTAACCTCCTCGGCGGTATGATTCTTTCCGATTTTTTGTGATGAAAGCGGTACCATTTTTTTGCATGGAAATATGTAGTTTTTTATTGTAGGCTGTAATTTTTAGGAATAACTCACTGAAATCTGTCCGAACAAGAGTTTTTTTAAACATTCCGGATATGATAAAACTTAAAACACGAAATCATAAAATATAATTTTATAAATAATCATAAAAAATAATAATATAATAATAAATTTAATTCAATAATATAATCAAACCAAAAACACTGAAATTTGAAATACAGAGGCAAATTCGCACATCGCTGAGCAAAGTCGCAAAATCGTTTTCAGTGTCTGATGACGAATTTCCCCACGAATCATTATCACTCAATTCTGCAAGTGGTTCTGATTTACTATCGCTGTTCTAAAACCGCTTTTGACGTAAAGGGACGCTTTTTGGACGCCATGGACTTTTCTAAGTTTCCAGGCAGAAAGAACAGTCAAAATGCAGGCAGGGCACAGGACAAAGCACTAGGGACAAAATGTATGTGAAATGCATTGAAACAGCAATGACAGCAAAAATGACATTTTTTAAAAATTTCAAATTTCCTGCCGGTTCCGGCGCCCGTACGTCCCGACGTCACAGAGACCGGAACACAGAAGCCGGATGCCGGCATCGGCCGAGGAGATGGCCGGGGACGCTGCAGTGGACACATCGCGGGAGCGAAGGACAAGGTAAGTGCTGCAGGGACCTCCTGAGCAACGCCGCATGGTAAGCCCAAGTGTAGCTCAGGGTTACCGCTCTTGGTATTGAAATTTTACCCCGAGCTACACTCAGGAAAACCGCTAAGGAGGTTAAAGGAGGAATTAAACCCTCCTATCCTTTCCAACAAAGGAAGCTGCCGGCTTAGCTTCTGTTTGATCTGCAGCTGCCATGATGCTGCACATGCGTTCAGTTATGACACCAGCCATTTGATGGTTTGACACTTTGGTTGAAAGCGCAAGCAAATGCGATAGTTAGCATTCCCGGAATACCAGGAATGTAATGGCTTTTTTAAACCCCTAAATAGATGGGTTTAGTTCCACTTTAAAACTGGATTTTTGTTAGCATATAAAAAAGTTTTCTCCTTCCTCATGTTTTATACAGAGAGAGAAAGAGAGAGATGGAAAAAGGGATAGAATTAAAAAGGACAGCATGCTAATATTAGATTGCATTTCTTTACAAGGACAGTGTGTGGAGAGAACACTAGGTTAAAGAGAGCAGAGAAATAATTCTGAAGAAAAGGCCCTCTGGACAGATCTACACAGCGCAACTAACCCAATGGGACCGATGACCTCACAGCACAAACAAGATACATGCTTTTTCCCTCTAACTGCCTTTCCAGCTATAGACACGGCAGCTAAATATAGCCGGACAACAATGTTTTCTACACGACTTCTACAGCTGAGCTGGAACGATCGCTCACACGTGGGAACTGAAATCCAGCTATTACAGTGACTAACCTTTTGATACGTCTCGTAAAAAAAAAAAAAAAAAAAAAAGAATATCTGCTACATGTGGCAAAGCTTAGCACAACAGCTGGAATATAGGTATGGAGCTAGTGAGTCATCTTCCATTCAATGCATCTCCAAGGGCCCATTCACACGGTTCTCAGCCCCATACAGCGTGAAGTGCCCTTGTTTATTTTTCTATTCTATCGCCAAGCTGCATGCAGGCAGGTGGCCCACACAGCAGTCTGACAGGTACACAGGAACAGGTGTGGATGTGACCTCACACCCATCCCTATGTACCTGTCAAACTGAGCTGTGCAGGTGAGTCTGTGAAGCCTACACCTATCCATTCGCTGATATGGGCAGCCTGCAGGCAGCTCAGCACTAGGACAGAGGAAACAAAGGGCGCTTCAGACTGTACAGGGCTAGGCACCCATGTGAATATGTACTAAAGTACCATACAGCCAACACACCTGGCACTGCAAATCCCCTCTTAGAGAGTTGTCATTAGTGTCTATACTGCAAGATTACTCTTATCTTCCTGTTCTTTTGACAACCAAAAATGTAGATTTTCCTTGACTTTCATTCCCAGTAACAGTCACCAGAACAGAGTAAATCTCCCCAGCAGGGGCACTCTTTGGCCTAATCAACATACCAGGTGTTACAATCTCAAAAGGATGTAAACAACTCCTAATTGTCATATCCATTGTAGCAGGAAAAAACATTTTACATAAGTGGATCTACCCAGCACCCCCCACCATTTCTTTGTTTATAGACAAACGCTCTTATGTTTTTCATATGGAATGGGAGGAAGTCTCCTTGCATAAGGAGTCACAGGTCCAAAAATTCTTTGATATCTGGGAATCTTTCAACCTTGCCTACAGATACCCAAAAATCAATAGTATAATGTTTTCAATATACACACACAATGGTTTCAAACCAGAATGTTAACCAGTGACCCTCCAATTGATATCCTACCCTCCAATTAAAATTAAAATATATTTAACGCTTTAGCAGCTAAAGCCTCTCCTCATTCCATCATCTGCTAGTTGTTACACCAACCGCAATCCATCTTTTTTTTCTTAATGTCCATCCTTTGACCAATCGCCGATACCTGGTTCTTATACTATTACATTACATTGAGTTTATATAGCGCCAAAGGGTTTGCTCAGCGCTGTACAATAGAGGGGGGACAATACATGAAACAGTACAGCAACTACAAACAGCACACGAGGGGTTAGAGGGCCCTACTCTTTCGAGCTTACAATCTACTATAATAACAAACTGTATGTTTTCAATTTTGTACTGTCCTACTGGCCAAATGCTGTGGCTATTTGTTAGCTGCATTCTGACATCAAAAAATAAAATAAAAATCTCAGCAGGGACACAGACAGCAATAAAAACAGGGAATAAAAAAAACAAAAAAACACCTTTACATATACTGTACTTAAAAGGGGAACTAAAGTTAAAAAGGAAAAAAAAAATAACAGGTAGAGTTTTTAGTGGAAGAGACTTTAAAAGCTAAATTCACCTTCTCCTTAAAGGTGACTATCCCAAGCAATCAAGGGGCCCCCATAGATAAATATTTAAAAGCATATATTTAAATGTTTTTCAGCTACGCTCCTGAGATGAACTGAATGGCCTACAAGTAAAACAATAAAATAAATGATCACTTTACAAACCTGCAAATAGTTTTAATATCTACTGGTGTCCCTTGACTGAGTAGGCTACTTTCTGTAAAAGGTGAACCTAGTCTGCAGATGTTGTGTATACTATAGTAGTGGACAAAGGGATGAGCGGGAGCACTGGGAGGAGGTTATATTATATATATATATATATATATATATATATATATATATATATATACACATACATACATTATATATATACATACATACACACATACATACATACATACATACATACATATACATACATACACACATACACATTTACATATTTGATCCCCATTCCTTTCTTTAGTAGTAGTTATTTCACTATTTACTGCCGAATAATTACCGTTTTTTTTCGCTCCATAAGACGCACTTTTTTCCCCCAAAAAAAGGGGGGAAAAATGTCAGTGCGTCTTATGGAGCGAATATAAAGCGGCCGGTCCGGTATTTCTGCCGCCACCATGTCAGAATACCGGGCCGGCCGCTCAGCTGTTCTCTCCTGCAGGGCCTTACCTGTTCCTCGATCCAGCGCTGCACAGTCTTCCCCCGCGCTGGCTTCTGTGACAGCCGGGTGCCCACTGCGCATGTGCTGCGCTTTGTGAATGATCCGGTGTCTTCTGGGACACATGACAGGCCCCCGAAGGCGCCGGGCCATTCATAAAGTGCAGCACTTCTCACGCATGCGCAGTGGGCACCCGGCTGTCACAGAAGCCGGCCCGGGAAGAAGAGAGAAGGACAACTCCGCGGAAGTGGGAGCGGGTACCTGTCAAATTCAGGTACCCTCTTCCCCTCCCTCCCCAAAGGTCAGCAGTCTCTGGTCATTCCCTGCACTGTCTGCAGTCTCTGGTCATCCCCTGCACTGTCTGCAGTCTCTGGTCATCCCCTGCACTGTCCGCAGTCTCTGGTCATTCCCTGCACTGTCCGCAGTCTCTAGTCATCCCCTGTACTGTCTGCAGTCTCTGGTCATTCCCTGCACTGTCTGCAGTCTCTGGTCATCGCCTGCACTGTCTGCAGTCTCTGGTCATTCCCTGCACTGTGTCCGCAGTCTCTGGTCATTCCCTGCACTATGTCCGCAGTCTCTGGTCATCCCCTGCACTGTGTCCGCAGTCTCTGGTCATCCCCTGCACTGTGTCCGCAGTCTCTGGTCATTCCCTGTACTGTGTCTGCAGTCCATTGGTTCAGAATATTTTTTTTTCTTGTTTTTCGCCTCTAAAACCTAGGTGCGTCTTATGGTCAGGTGCGTCTTATGCAGCGAAAAATACGGTAGATTAAGTAGATTGATACAGAAACCAGTGAACTACTGACTATTACAACTGACTGAGTTAAAAGGAGAAGTACATAGATGTTTCTCAGGGCACCTCTCATCTCTCTCTCTCTTGCCTTAAGCGCCTCAAAGTGGAATTTCAACTCCTACAACTGGTTGACCCCTGGCATATATCCCACCCGCAAGACAGGGACTATTCCTTCTACTCAGCAGTTCGCCAAACCTATTCACGATTGGATTACTTCTTCATTCAAAAGAAAGACCAGCAGCGCGTACGGTCGAAAGGTATAGGTAACATCACCTTTTCTGATCATGCTCCAATCTTCATGGACTTACAATTGGGGCCGGTCAATCCCCTGATGTCAGGACGGCCATAGATCGCTCCCTCTTGGAATACTTCTCATTAATCACCGACTCTGTGGAAAGTCCCCTCATGCTCTGGGAGGTGCATAGACCTGTTCTACAGGGAAAACTGATGGCGCTTAGTGCAAAACGTAAGTGAGAATGCTCTCTCCAGGTGGATACCCTACTAGAATGCCTTCGGGGACTAGAGGGTGCTCACAAGGCAAGTCTGGCAAGGAACATACCAGGAACTCAAGTCTTGGCATGGACCCAAAAAAACTATGTATGAATACTCAAACAAACCCGGCACTCTCCTTGCTCAGGCAAATCGTGGCGTCCTCACTTGCACTTACACCGTGTTCCAAATTATTATGCAAATTCTATTTAAGTGTCACAAAGATTAAATATTTTGTTTTTTAGTTTAACTCATGGATGGCATTGTGTGTCAGGGCTCTTTTGATCACTGAAAACAATCTCGGACACCTGTGATAATTAGATAGGCCGGTGAGCCCAATTTAAGGAAAAACTACTAAAGGAGGGTGTTCCACATTATTAGGCAGATCACCATTTTCAAGCAATATGGGGAAGAAAAAGGATCTCTCTGCTGCCAAAAAGAGTGAAATAGTTCAATGCCTTGGACGAGGTATGAAAACATTAGATATTTCACGAAAACCTAAGCGTGATCATCGCACTATTAAGAGATTTGTGGCTGATTCAGAGCACAGACAGGTTAGTGCAGATAAAGGCACATTGAGGAAGATTTCTGCCAGATCCATGCTTCGGATCAAGAGAGCAGCTGCTAAAATACCATTACATAGCAGCAAACAGATATTTGAAGCTGCTGGTGCCTCTGGAGTCCCACGGACATCAAGGTGTAGAGTCCTCCAGAGTCTTGCAACTGTGCATAAACCTTCTATTCGGCCACCAGTAACCAATGATCACAAGCAGAAAATATATGAAGTCTAATTTTCAAACAGTCCTGTTCACTGATGCGTGCCGTGAAACCCTGGATGGTCCAGATGGATGGAGTAGTGGATGGTTGGTGGATGCCACCCTGTTCCAACAAGGCTGCGACGTCAGCAAGGCGGTGTTGGAGTCATGTTTTGGGCCGGAATCGTGGGAACAGAGCTGGTCGGCCCCTTTAGGGTCCCCGAAGGTGTAAAGATGACCTCTGCAAAGTATGTGGAGTTTATGACTGACCACTTTCTTCCCTGGTACAGAAGAAAGAACTATGCTTTCCGTAATAAAATCATCTTCATGCATGACAATGCACCATCTCATGCTGCAAATAATACCTCTGCATCAATGGCTGCTCCATCCTCCCCTGACTTCAATCCTAATGAGAACCTTTGGGGCATCCTCAAGCAAAAGATCTATGAGGGTGGGAGGCAGTTTACATCCAAACAGCAGCTCTGGGAGGCTATTCTGACATCTTGCAAACAAATTCAAGCAGAAACTGTCCAAAAACTCACAAGTTCAATGGATGCAAGACTTGTGAAGCTGCTATCAAATAAGGGGTCCTATGTTACAATGTAACGTGACCTGTTCAAATGTTTAAAAAAGTTAAAATGTTGTTAAAAGTTTGCTTAAAATAGCTTTTGATTTCAGTAAATATGCTGCAAACACAACAAATGACAATTTTCAGTTCTTTACAACCTATAAAGTGTTTTGAAACTTACTGTGCGTAATAATTTGGAACAGTGCATTGTAAGTTTTTTATGTTTAAAAAAAATACTGTTATCATTAGGTTTATTCAATAAAATTTGAATTGTACTCCTAATAGTTGATAACATGAGAATTATACTGACTGTTATTTACATCAATTATTTAGGTAAATGAGAAAAATATAATTTGCATGATAATTTGGAACAGGGTGTACATCCCACACATTATGGCTACTTCAAAGTGATAGCTATCCTCCTCCGACTCCATGGCCTCCAAATTTTGCTCCTTTTTTTTTTGTGATCTCTACAACATTGCCTCGGACCCTCTTCAGGGCCCTACTGCAGACTGTCAAGAATTCGCTCTTATATTGCCTCTTCGGGCATGCCTCCCCTTGCCCCTTCGGTATGCAAGGACCTAGATGCCCCAATAACAGTGGAGGAACTTGGGGTGGCACTCTCACAATCTAAACCCAGAAGAGCCCTGGGTCCTGACCTCGGCTTATTACAGGACCTTTTTTGGACAAGCTAGCCAGCCCTCAAATGGCAGCGGAATAAAATTCTCTGGCTAAGGGAAAGACTATGTCTCCTGACGCATATAGGGCCTATGTCTCTTCGATCCCTAAGCAGGGTAAGAATCCATCACAGTGCAGTAGCTACCGCCCTATTGCTCTGCTAAATACTGACTTAAAGCTGGTTATAACTATATTCCCTTCGCACACATTCCTGGAAGTGTGGCTCATCAATGGAGGGTGCTGTAGCGACTACTAGCTGGGACTGGAATCATCATAAGCAAACGTACATATTCGCCAGCACACCACGGATCTTCAGTATGGTCCAAAAAAGGTTTTTACTCCAAAAAGATCACATCACAAAAGAAAGTGCAATGTTTCGGAGCAGCGCAGAACCCCTTCATCAGGCTACGAAGGTGTCCTGCGAGGCTTTGAAACTTTGCACTTTTTGTGATGTGATCTTTTTTGAATAAAAACCTTTTTTGGATCATATTGGAGATCCGCGGTGTGCTGGCAAATATGTGCATTTGCTTTTATAACAGAGCTATCCATCTTACACATCTAGTTGACTGGCATTGCCACGGTGATGCTAAATATTGGGTTTACCCAAAGAACTCAGGGCCCACCGCATCCTTGGCACCACTTTGGAGGTGGCTCGTGAGACGTTCCACTGTTCGACCCTGTCCCCTGTTCTCCAATGGTCCCCCCTGCTGGGCAGCTTCGAGTTCATTCCAGGCCTGACCAACCAACAATTCCTCCGCCTCACAAACAGTGGTCATACCCATCTGACAGACTTCCTAACTGTCTCTAGAGTACTAACCTCGATTTTACCACGCTAGTGGACCCCCCCCTCCAGCTTCTGGGGGGTCTACAGCTACGGTTTTACCTCCTGGCATAGCCCAACCTTTGACGGCCCATGAGAGCTTTTCCCCGCCCTTCCTCCACAAATGGGAGCTGGAATTAGGTGTGACCCTCTCAACTCAGCTACCCAGTGTTTGCTCGAGCTGTGGAACAAGCAGAAGTACATTCCTTCATGTTTTTTGGAAGTTCCCGAAGCTTCGACCCTTCTGGAGAGGATCACCAGTATAATTGAACAACTCACAGCCATAGACCTAAGTGATGACCCTGCAGCTTGCCTCCTGCACCTGAATGGGAGACCCATCAAAAAAATACAAACCCTCTCTTACTATTCAACTGCTGAACACAGCAAAGGCCTGTATACCACTTTTTTGGAGGAAGGAGTTTCCTCCAACCCTCTCTCTCTGGTTCACCAAGGTGAATGAACTTAGAAACATGGAAAACCTTACCACCACACCCTGCGCAACACAGAGGAAGCTTTTCACAACACATGGCGCCCTTGTGACTACTTTGTTTTCACAGATACTTATTTGAACGAGCTTACTCCTGCCCACTGAAGTTCACCCTTCTTTGCCCCTCCTCTTGCCCCCCTGAGAGAAGAGGTACACCGTGCATGCAGCGCCCTTTTCCTTCCCCTCACCTTGGCCTCTCTTCCTCCTGCTCGTGCTATTCCCCCTCTACACATACCGACCACCCTCCCCCCACCCCGTCCTTCTCTAGCCCTTGATGCTTTTGCTAGTGGGCTCCTTGCCCAACCCCAAGACTGCATGCAAGATGGTCCAGTATAGTGAGCCGGCTACACTGCCCATGCTGTTTTAGAAATATCAACTGATTTGAAACACCCATTCTGCTTAACTGTAAGCCCGGCCTTCTACACTCCAAGGTTACTTTCACAGGCTACTACCATACCCTGGACCCATGATTTTTGTTATACTATGTTTTCTCAATTGTGATCTTTTTTCATACTCTATCACTTATTGTTATTGGTTTGTTAACCTTCTTCTCAAATGTTCTGTACGCTGTGGCATTTCTGTGCATGAGATGCTGGTTATATTTTCCCATTGATGCCTTGTTTTGCTTGTTTATACAACTCATTTGTACAAATAAAAGGAATTACAAAAAAAAAAAAAAGAAGTACAGCCAAAGCTCTTTTGTTTTAGTTCGTTCTGCACTCCTGTGACCTATTTTTAGATGTCAGTATGCGGACGTCACTTAGCCGATCCAGGCTGGGAAAAGATCCTGACTTTTAGGTAGGGATCTACCCCAGACTCTGGAGCAGCACCGGGCTCAGTCTGTCAATAAGCCGCTAAGAGCCTGAGCCAGCCGCTCCCTCCCCCTCCACAACCCAGCGCTCCTTTGAGCATGGGGGGCAGAGCAGACAGCAGCAACTGACAGTCACCGCTTTCTGCTCAGAGCAGCTCTGAGAACTCAGCAATCAGTGGTCATGCGATTAGAGCCAGCGGGGGAGACGTGCAGCATCGGACCCATCGGATTTTTAAATAAAATACATTCCCATACTGCTTTTTTTAAGAAAGCCCAACTCTAATTGAAGTGGATGAATGTGAAACACATTAATATGGGCTCCCACAGTACTGGTGTATGGGAGATTTTGTGGTTGGGTAGTTCAATATTTCTAATGGTTTGTGTAATAATATCCCTAGAAGTGGGGCTGTTTTTTTATTTTCTAGATCAATACTAAATTAAACATATATAAAAACTAAATTTGTTAAATTTTGTATACATTTTATAGTAAAATGTCCCCTTTGCTTGTATATTTTGGTTCCTATGCCATCAGGATTGAATTTTGGCACCCACTTGTGGCCCTTTGCTATGGCTTCATTTTGTAAGTGGTTCCCAATGATATCCCTTCTTCCTTATCTTTTTCATGAGGGGGTTTCCCCCTATATAGGAATTTATGTAACTTTATGTGTGTTCCAATAGAGTTTAGCCTTTTTGTGCGCCTTCTGCAATCACATGGATGTTTGAGTCCTCATCCCAGCCAAATATTTACATCATCTCTTCAAGATTAGTATCAGTAGCTGACTACAAAGGGGTTAGCAATAGGTCATATGTGTCTGGATAAATGTTTTGATTATAAATGGCTATATTGTACTGTTGTATAACTTTCTCTCTTTTTTTTTAATTGCTAATTTTGTGCTTTTGACAAAATTCTAGACTGTTAGCAGTTATTTTATCTCCTGAAGAAGCCCATGGTAGGCGAAACATGTTGGGATCTTACATCTGCATACAGCCAAAACAGTCAAGCTGCATGTGGTCGTGAATTGTTTTTAAATTGAATGGACTTTTAATGACATTAATAAACTGTTAATTTTTAATGGTTGAGTTTTCTTAGGCAGCTAAAAAATCCCAAAACGTTCTGGTAATTGTATGTTTGTAGGGATGTGGTGCATTTGTATTGTCAACCACTGATCATAACTTCTTTTGTCCATATTGTTATAGGAATTGTGGAAAAATGTAGGTATGGTATTCACCTTTGAATATTCCACTCAATCAATACTATATAAATGTCTCAAAGACCCCAATACAGAATGACATTTCTGTTACACAGAATAGTGATCATATTAATGCCAAAGGCTTATTAAAATAATATAAACTATTAGGGAAATGTATCTTACTGAAACCTCCTTGTTGTGCTATGATAAAGCAACCAGTGAGACATTATTTGCAAAACCATGCTATGCTATAAGTGATTGTCACTGTGTGGCCTACACGGAAACTACCTAATAAACAAATATGCATAATGAGCACACCAATAAGTATATATACCGCATTTTTCGCTCCATAAGACGCACTTTTCCCCCCAAAAAAAGGGGGGGGAAATGTCAGTGCGTCTTATAGAGCGAATATAAAGCGGCCAGTCACGGTATTTCTGCCGCCACCATGTCAGAATATTGGGCCAGGCCGCTCAGCTCTTCTCTCCTGCAGGACCTTACCTGTTCCTCACTCCAGCGCTGTAGTCTTCCCGCGCCGGCTTCTGTGACAGCTGGGTGTCCACTGTGCATGCACGAGAAGCGCTGCGCTTCGTGAATGGTCCCAGAAGGTGCCGGGCCATTCACAAAGTGCAGCGCTTCTTGCGCATGCGCAGTGGGCATCTGGCTGTCACAGAAGCCGGCGCGGGAAGAAGAGGGAAGGACAACTCCACGGAAGTGGGAGCGGGTACTTGTCAAATTCAGGTACCCGCTCCCCCTCCTTCCCCAAAGGTCAGCAGTCTCTGGTCATCCCCTGCACTGTCCGCAGTCTCTGGCCATCTCCTGTACTGTGTCCGCAGTCTCTGGTCCATCTCCTGTACTGTGTCCGCAGTCTCTGGTCCATCTCCTGTACTGTGTCCGCAGTCTCTGGTCCATCTCCTGTACTGTGTCCGCAGTCTCTGGTCCTCTCCTGCACTGTGTCCGCAGTCTCTGGTCATCTCCTGTACTGTGTCCGCAGTCTCTGGTCATCTCCTGTACTGTGTCCGCAGTCTCTGGTCATCTCCTGTACTGTGTCCGCAGTCTCTGGTCATCTCCTGTACTGTGTCCGCAGTCTCTGGTCCTCTCCTGTACGGTGTCCGCAGTCTCTGGTCCTCTCCTGTACTGTGTCCGCAGTCTCTGGTCCTCTCCCGTACTGTGTCCGCAGTCTCTGGTCCTCTCCTGTACTGTGTCCGCAGTCTCTGGTCATCTCCTGTACTGTGTCCGCAGTCTCTGGTCTTCTCCTGTACTGTGTCCGCAGTCTCTGGTCATCTCCTGTACTGTGTCCGCAGTCTCTGGTCTTCTTCTGTACTGTGTCCGCAGTCTCTGGTCCTCTCCTGTACTGTGTCCGCAGTCTCTGGTCCTCTCCTGTACTGTGTCCGCAGTCTCTGGTCATCTCCTGTACTGTGTCCGCAGTCTCTGGTCTTCTCCTTTACTGTGTCCGCAGTCTCTGGTCATCTCCTGTACTGTGTCCGCAGTCTCTGGTCTTCTCCTGTACTGTGTCCGCAGTCTCTGGTCATCTCCTGTACTGTGTCCGCAGTCTCTGGTCTTCTTCTGTACTGTGTCCGCAGTCTCTGGTCCTCTCCTGTACTGTGTCCGCAGTCTCTGGTCCTCTCCTGTACTGTGTCCGCAGTCTCTGGTCATCTCCTGTACTGTGTCCGCAGTCTCTGGTCTTCTCCTTTACTGTGTCCGCAGTCTCTGGTCATCTCCTGTACTGTGTCCGCAGTCTCTGGTCATCTCCTGTACTGTGCCCGCAGTCTCTGGTCATCTCCTGTACTGTCCCCGTAGTCTCTGGTCCATCTCCTGTACTGTCCGCACTCTCTGGTCATTTCCTGTACTATGTCTGCAGTCCATTGGTTCAGAATATTTTTTTTCTTGTTTTCCGCCTCTAAAATCTAGGTGCGTCTTATGGTCAGGTGCGTCTTATGGAGCGCAAAATATGGTATATCACCACAAACATAAAAATTAAAAAAACTTCATAAAATTTTCTACATACGTAAATGTAATAATTCTATTATACATTTCAAGAGAATATTCAAGGCTTTTGATTTAACTGAGTTGCATTTATTTTCACAGCAACAATACAAAAAAGTATAGTTATGCATTTTCCTTATTTTTGATGTTTTTTTCCCAGAATAACAGGATTATGGATGGGAGACTGCAAGATGGACTCTAAAATACACTACCCTTTTATTCCACAATCATTTTCTACTTGATCCACAGCTGGAGGGCATGTCATACATCTGCACACTGCTCTAATACTCACTTCGTTCGTTGTTATTCCATCAACAGCTTTCTTTTTTTTATCTGTCACAAAACATCCCAAACTAATAAATTGTTCCGTCCTCCGGGCCAATTGTATGCAAGGAAGGAATCAACATTTGGATTTATAATTTATCGTTATTATTCTTAAAACAGTCAATGACCAAAAAACTCCATGAAAGACACCACATTCAGCCTTCCCTACAACAAACAGCACTAAACAATACACTGAACTTGGTACATGTTAAAGTGTATGTAAACCCAGCATTTCCTATTGTTATGTGCCTGCAGTACCATGTACTTGTATGAAAAACTATTTGTTCTTTGTATTGCTAAGTATTTGATCCCCTGCTGATTTTGAATGTTTGCCCACTCACAAAGAAATGATCAGTCTAAAACTCGAATGGTAGGTGTATTGTAACACTGAGAGACAGAATAGCAACCAAAAATTCAAGAGAAATGCATGTCTAACAAATGATGCACTGATTTGCATGTTCATGAGGGAAATAAGTATTTGATGCCCTATCATTCAGCAGGATTTCTGGCTACCAGGTCGTTTCATACAGGTAACAAGCTGAGATTAGAAGCAGTCTCTTAAAGGGAGTGTTGCTAATCTCATTTTGTTACCTATATAAAAGACACCTGTCCACAGAAGCAATCAAACAAAAAGATTCCAAACTCGCCACAATGGCAAAGACCAAAGAGCTGTCCAAGGATGTCAGCGACAAGATTGTAGACCTACACAAGGCTGGACTGGGCTACAAAACTATGGAGCAATGCCTCATCGGACATGTAGTCCTGGGCAAGCGAATGAAGTGAGTGATTCTAAAGGCAGAAGTGTTTTTACCTTGCTATAAGGGTACTCTATACTATACTTTGCAACTTGCTATAGGGGCACTCTGAAGGCAGGAGCAGCCAGAAGCGCTGGCAGGGAACCCCTGAAGAGGACAAACAGGGCTGCTCTGTGCAAAACAATTGCACAGAGCAGATAAGTATGAAAGTTTGTTTTAAAAGAAATCTCTGAAAACTTTTTCTTTAAAGAAGTCTATCCTGCTTCTAACTAGTAAACTGCCATTTATTTCCTCCATAAGCTCATCCCTCCACAGCTATTACCTTTATAACACTAAACCCTTCCTCCTAGATTGTAAGCTCTGATGAGCAGGGCCCTCTGTTTCCTCTTCTACCAAATTGTATCGTAACTGTAATGTCTGCCTCATTTTGTAAAGCACTGCGCAAACTGTTGGCGCTATCTAAATCTTGTATAATAATAATTTAAAAATCCAACATTTACAATCACTTTACCTGTTCCCGCCCGGGCCAAAGCAGAACGAGGGCCAAGCGGGACGCTCGTCGATCCGGATGGACATCATATGACATACTTCCCGGATCTGGCCACGCTGTGGTGAGATCTGTCACAGGTTCTGTACCTTGGACACAGCCGATAACAAATCTGTGTACCAGCCCATTGCCAATACCATGTGACCTCCTGTGACACTGACCTCCTATCCTGCCGCCCCTCCATCTGGCTCCTAAATTTTTAACTGGCTCACAGATTCAAATCAAATTTGTCAAGCGCTGACACACACACTTATATATATATTTGAATGCCTATTGGATTTAAGCATACAGTATTAGGAGATGTGTATTTATGTAATGAGGGAGGGTGTGACCTACGGAGATCAACAACCTATATCAAGGTGTGCATAATTACATAATTATAAGGCAACTTCTTTTCCTTAGGCAAAATGGGCCAAAAAAAAGAGATTTAACGGGCTCAGAAAAGTCAAAAATTCGAAAAAGACTTTCAGAGGGATGCAGCACTCCTGAAATTGCTAAGATATTGGGGTGTGATCAAAGAACCACCACATTTTTTTGTTGCAAATAAGTCAACAGGGTTGCAAGAAACATGTTGAATAAAAAAAAGACACAAATTAACTGCCAAAGATTTGAGAAGGATTAAACATGAAGCTACCAGGAGAGGGGTAAGAACACCTATCAGGTTTTTTTTTTCTGTCTGTGTGCCCATTGGGGAGACTCACCCTCTCTATTTGTCATGTTTGCTATTATCATTGAAAGTGAAAGAAAGTTCCAAATGTCCCCAGAACAGTAATAGTGGGGAAAACTTCCGATGGGAACACTAGTTCTGGTGACCCTGGGGACAATCAGGGACACACTCACTTTGGAGGTATTTCCTCCCACTTCCTATTTTGGCTATGGGACAAGCAGTAAAGATTAATCTCCCTTTAGGCAGAGTTATAACCCTCCCTTGCCTTATCCAAAATTGAAAAAAGTTCTACTTTATATTTTTTTTATTGATTTTTCATTTTTAATTTTTTTTTAATATATACTGTATATCAGGGCTACTCAACCGGGGTGCCATGGCACCCAGGGGTGCCACAAAGAGTCCTCAGGGGTGCCGTGGCAAAAGCAGAAAAATCTGTACCATCTAAGGCAGGCAAATATTTTTACTGCTGCCTCAAGGTTTTTACATGTGCAATGTTAGTCTTGTGCCTTTTAAACTGTCATGTAACCTCCTTTGTGCTTTGATGCGGGGACCGGTCTGTGGCAGTCTCATCTTCTCAAGAGTTTAGTTACAATTCTCCAACTTTTCCTCGTGCAGCTAAAGGTAGTGGGTGGGACCGGGGGTGTGGCCACCTCCATCCCTCATCACACAGGTGGCTGCTATGGCTGATTCCACAGCTGAAGATGGAGGAGCAGAGAGAGAACAGCCCTGCAAGTCTCCCTTCAGCTCCAGTGGTGCGCTAAATGGCAGATGGAGAGGCTTCCCCTCACTCACTGCCACACCGCTCACAAGATGACTGCCACTGCCATACTGCTCACAAGATGACTGCCACTGCCATACCGCTCACAAGATGACTGCCACTGCCATACCGCTCACAAGATGACTGCCACTGCCATACCGCTCACAAGATGACTGCCACTGCCATACCGCTCACAAGATGACTGCCACTGCCATACCGCTCACAAGATGACTGCCACTGCCATACTGCTCACAAGATGACTGCCACTGCCATACCGCTCACAAGATGACTACCACACCGCTCACAAGATGACTGCCACTGCCATACCGCTCACAAGATGACTGCCACTGCCATACCGCTCACAAGATGACTGCCACTGCCATACTGCTCACAAGATGACTGCCACTGCCATACCGCTCACAAGATGACTGCCACTGCCATACCTCTCACAAGATGACTGCCACTGCCAAGATGACTGCTGCTCACAAGATGACTGCCACTGCCATACTGCTCACAAGATGACTGCCACTGCCATACCGCTCACAAGATGACTGCCACTGCCATACCGCTCACAAGATGACTGCCACTGCCATACCGCTCACAAGATGACTGCCACTGCCATACCGCTCACAAGATGACTGCCACTGCCATCACCGCTCACAAGATGACTGCCACTGCCATACACAAGATGACTGCCACTGCCATACTGCCACTGCCATACTGCTCACAAGATGACTGCCACTGCCATACCGCTCACAAGATGACTGCCACTGCCATACGCTCACAAGATGACTGCCACTGCCACAACCGCTCACAAGATGACTGCCACTGCCATACAAGATGACTGCCACTGCCATACACAAGATGACTGCCACTGCCACACTCACAAAGATTACTGCCACACACCGCTCACAAGATTACTGCCACTGCCATACCGCTCACAAGATGACACAAGATGACTGCTCACAAGATGACTGCCACACCGCTCACAAGATTACTGCCACTGCCATACCGCCACAATGCCATACCGCTCCATACCGCTCACAAGATGACTGCCACA